TGTGCTTCCAGAACATTATGGAATGTTATAAACCCTGGCAAGATAATAATAATGTTCTAAGAAACTATGTAAGTGTGTTAATTTCCTAACCTTTATTACCAGTGAATTAATACATTGAGTTTAAAATCAAAAGAGTTATTTTTTTTAAAAGCATGACCACAATATCTTAATATTTTGCAAGTTTTTTTCTTCTTTGTTGTAAAAGCATTCTCAGGGGAAAAAATCTCGTATGAAGCAACACTTACCTGAAGTTAATATTTATTTCAGTTTCACCCCAATTTCCAATTCTTCTGTTAAGTAAAATTATATCTAATACCCTTTTATTACAAATAGCATGCATAATATCATTTCATTTTCCTTATCCATCTGTCTCTTCTTCTATTCCAGGCATGTGCACAGAGAGGTGCCCGGGATGAGATTCATGAAATAAAACCTCTTTTTATGAGGAATATTTATTTACTATCGCTTGAATGTTTTGTTCTATACGTTTGCCATTTTTGCAAAATCAAAATTCATTCTTTTTTATTATTTTGGTCAGATTGTGTCTTCCTCCATGCAAAACTGGTATTTTGACAAAAGTGGGGTATTAGGAGATATCTTTGCACAAAATATAAGAAGATGTGAGGGGGCTGCAACTTTGCACACATTACACAAGATATCACAGGGTTGCAGGGAGGAGGAGTCCAGATGGGACAGCAAATGTTTGATTCCGAGGGAAGGGTGTGGGGGGATCGCAAGGCTGCCTGAACACGGTGACTCATGTGGCGTCCACCTCCATCTTTGCCATCTTGGTTTGGGGTAAGATGGGACCAGCAGACTCGGGTTCAGCTGACGCCACTGCAGACTCCATCCGGGGAGCCCCTTTGGGTCTGGACTGTCACTGCAGGTGGCAGCTGGGCTCCTCACACCCGACCTGGCTCCCTCCAATGCATTCCCCCTCACACCCAGTTACATCACCCAGCACCCATCTGCTGAAACTCTTCCCTGTGTTCCTCTTGCTCTCAGCCCAACAGAGAGGTTGGGTCACATGCCCAAGGTCACACAGCTTGTAACTGGAAGAGGGATTTGAACTTGGTCAGTCTGAGGGCTTAGTATTAAAGACAAGATCCTGAGCGTGTCCTCCACTGGTCTGTCTGGAAGCCCTCAAATCTCCCCTTGCCTGGGAGAAGCCTGGGCTGGGGGGCCACTTAGGAAGAGAGTAAAGGGTTGAAGACGGGGTGCAGAGGACAGCCCTGCAGGAGGCTGGTCATATGGGGCCGTGGAGGCCACGGTGAGAAATCTGGATTCCATTCCAAGTACAATGGGAAGTGACATGATCGGATTTATTTTTTAAAACACAGGCTGGCTGTGGGGTGGAAGGAGGAGGTGGGAGGCGAGAGAGGAACAAGGAGCCCAGGCGGGAGGCTGCTGTGGCCGGTCAGGCGGGACGGTTTCTAACACACCTGATGTCTCCCTTTTCGCTTGCAGGCAGCCTGGGCTCCTGTTCTCTCCTCCAGCCCAGGCCTTAGCAGGTGGAAATTGGGGCTGCCTTGAACTGGGAAGCTGGGATGGGAAGGTCTCTAGAAACACACGCGACTGATTTCCACCCAGCTGCCCCAGGGCCACCACCTGGACAGACAAGTGATCTTTGCACTGGCACAGGGGTACAAGATGGCTAGTTTAATGAAAACCTTTGGCATTTGCAAAGCCCCCGACCTCAGCTTTGCCTGCTCTGCCCCAGAGGGAGGGAGAGGACAGGTGGAGCATGGGCTGAAGGAGCCATGAGCTGGCTTCCCAGGCTCCCCATTTCCTGTTCCATGTTTGGGTGCCTTGACTTGGCGTTCAAGGCCCTGCATACCCCGACTTCAGCTTCCGTCTGGCCCTGCTGCTCTGCCCGCAGCTCTGGTTGCAGCTAAGCAGACTGCCCGGGACGGCTCAGGCCTCCCTCATGGCTTTGTTCACACTGCCCTACTCCACACCGTCGCCATCTGATCACCTCTCTATGCCACCCCTGTGCAGGTTTCACCTGTTTCCTCTCATCTAACCCTGCAGCTCCCCTGAGAGGCAGGTGACGTGCTCTCCCCATTGCACAGGTGAGGACTGCACCTCCAGGAGGCCACGTGACTCGCCCGTGATGCCCCCATGGGCTGGTGGTGGCCGTTCGTGGCCACAGTGCTGCTGTGAGGATCGCCGAGCGGCGAGGGGCAGAGGTCAGCCCTCGCCTGGCACAGACGTGGGGTGGGGCAGCCGGAGGGAAATGCAGATTCCCAGGCCCCTCCAGCGGCTCCTGTCCCAGGGTCTGGGGAGGTCCCGGGAATCTGCATGTTCACAGGCCCCTCCCTCATTACTTTGGGGACCTCAGCAGGTGGGGGCAGCGCAGGGGACTGATGGGGGCAGGAGCTGGAGGACACGCGTGGCTGATATGCGGGTGTGGCGGGGACGTGAGCTCACGGAGCCGGGGGACAGGGCTTTGCCAACAGGGCAGAGGCTGAGACTCTGGGGTGTGGGGGACCCCCCTCCAGGTAACGTCTGTGAAACAGAATTCACGTGGCCTCCAGGGGGTGCGTCTGTGTGATTTGTGCCCCCAACCTGGAGGGGGGTGGTCTGTGGCTGCTTTGACCAACAGAGAACACGGCAGAAGTGCCGCACTGCGGTTTCCGGCCTAGCCTTGAACCCCAGCAGCCTCTGTCTCCTGTCCCCCGAATGCTCCCTCTGGGGGGGGGCAGCCCGAGGGCCGGGCGTCCAAGCGTCCGGGTGTCCAAGCGCCCGGCTGTGAGGAGTCCAAGCAGCCAAGGGAGGGACTGCGTGGGGTGGGGGCTGTCCCCCAACCCCAGCCCTGCAGCCAGGTCCCCGAGTCGGTGAGGAAGGTGACCTGGGCCCTGCAGCCTGGCGGTGACGGGAGGAGGGCGAGGAGCCCTCGCTGAGGCCAGGCGCGCACCCCTCGGAGCCGTCACAGCACCCACAGCCCCGCAAGCCGCCCGGCCGGCCGTCCCCCACAGCAGACACGGCGGCGGTGCTGCACGCGCCAAGCTCCCGACCAGAACGCCGTGAGCACGGTGCAATCATGGCTGTTTAAGCCACCACGGTGGGAGGGGTTTGCTCCCCAGCGACGGGATCCAGGCGCCTACCCGGCCTCAGTTTCCATTTGTGATGCAGGTAAGAACACAGCACAGCGGGTCCCGGGCGGACGCCAGCGTCCTGGCACAGGCTGGTTGGAGGTCTGGCTCTGCCTCCCTGCAGCCCGCGGTCTCGGTCCAGAGACAGAGCGTCTGTACAGCGGGAGTTCACGGTGACCCCCGTGGGGCTCTGTGGGGATTACGTGGGTGGGTCCATTTGAGGTGCCGAGAGCAGTGCTGGCCTGTGGCTGGGACTGACAGACGCCGGCTGGATTCTCTGCCCTGCTCACCCGGGGGTCTGGGGTAAGGCTCAAGTGACGGCCTGTGAAGGGCGCCGCCTGTGTCGCGTCTGGGAAGGGCTCGCTGTGCGCGCGCTGTTGTCAAGGACACACCCATTTTCAGCCCCTACTATGTGCCAGGCGCTGTCCAGGAGCTTGGTCACATCAGGAGCAAAACAGGACAGGATCCGTGTGCTGGGGGAGGGGGATGGGGCGGGTGGGAGTGCAAACTGGTGGAGCCCCCACCCAGGTCTGTGCAAACCGGTGGAGCCCCCCACCCAGGTCTGTGCAAACCGGTGGAGCCCCCCACCCAGGTCTGTGCAAACCGGTGGAGTCCCCCACCCAGGTCTGTGCAAACCGGTGGAGTCCCCCACCCAGGTCTGTGGCTTCACAGGCCAGGAGAGAAACAGCGCCAGGTGACAGCTGCGCAGGTGAGCTGCCCTGAGGCCGGGAACCAGCTCTCTCAGCAGGTGCCGCCTGAGCCCCTGAGGCAGATCCCACACCGGCCCTGCCGCCCAGCGCCGGCACCACCGAGACCCTCCAGGAGGGGGCGCCAGTGGGGCCATCACCACCCAGTGTCCTCTCTTTCCTAGTGGCCTGGATGAAAACAGGTTGCTTGCAAAGTGCTGTCAAACAGAGTCACTGGAATCTTTTGCCACTGGAGTGGGCGTCACACGGAACAATCTTCAAAGATGTCAATTATCATAATTAACCAGACCGTCCCCAGATTCCTGACATGCCGGTCTGTCAGCAGGAGCGGCCAAGGCCTCCCAGGGCCGCCTGCGGAGTCTGAGGGGCGGGGGAGGGGAGGGATGGACCCCACGCGGCCCCTCCCCCGGCGGAGCCCAGGGTGCCGAGTCCCTACCGGCAGCCGGGTGGGCGGCTCGTCAGGGCAGGCAGCGTCACCCCCACACCCTGTGCAGGGTCTGAGACCGGAACAGGAGGCAGTGGGAGCACCTGTGTGCTCCGACGATCACAGTCAAAGTGCAATGGTCATGACAATAAAATAATGATGATAACAATGGCTCTCATGGACGAGCACCTACTGTGTGCCCGGCCTGAGTTAAGGTTTTATGCACATGAGCTCGTTTCACCCTATTAACAACGGTGACCCCATAATTCGTCCTCCCAGCCGGAGTCCTTGGGAGAGAGAAAGGGCACTGTCAACAAGGACACCACAACCGGGCCCCTGGGCAGCCTGGCTCCCCCACTTCTTCAGGTCTCAGCGCAAACGTCACCTGTTCTGAGCGCTCCTCCTGACCACGTCTCTGACGTCACTGTCCCCCCTCACCCACTGCATCTTCACACTGTCCTGTGTCCCCATCCTTATCACTACCCACATGCCACCCAGCTGGTCCATTGTTTATGTGTCTGTCATCTCTTTCCATTGTGACATGGGCTCCCTGAGGGGAGGGACGGGACCTTTTCTGTCCACTGTTGTGTCCCGGGGCCTCGACCAGTGCCTGGGCCATAATAGCCCCATCACATGATGGTGGGTGGGTGAGTGGATGGATGACTGGGTGGGTGGGTGAGTGGATGGATGGGTGGATGGGTGGATGGGTGAGTGGATGGATGACTGGGTGGGTGGATGGGTGAGTGAATAGATGGGTGGATGGGTGAGTGAATGGATGGGTGAATGGGTAGGTGAGTGAGTGAATGAATTAATGAAAAGTCATGAAGTAGAGGAACTGGGATATGAGGTCACTTCTCCTTTCTAAGGGCTTTGCAAGGGTGACAACTGTCCTGGGGAATCTTCTGTAGTCCTTAGTCACTTTGCGGCCTGGGGCTGAGCGGCACAGTGGACAGGCAGACTGGAGTTCAGGCGGAGCTCCCTGCAGGGGAGGCAGGGAGGGGAAAGCTCAGGGACTGTGAAAGCTGGAGCTGTGTCCCCCCACCTGGCGGAGAGTGGTCCAGCCCCACCACCAAGCATCTGTGGGACCCCAGGCAGCAGCCTGCTCCCAGGCTGCTTTGAAGATGAAGGGAGGCGAGGGGTGTGGTGGTTCCGGAAAGGGAAAGGGGCTCCTTTGACTCTCCCCAGAGTGCTCAGGCCCCTGAGAGGTCCCCCACCTGCTGCAGTACCTCGTCCCTGTGCGGGGCTTAGTTACGGGGCTCAGCCAAGCAGTGGCAGCCTGGGTGTTGACTCCTTCTGAGCAAGACAGTCACCAGCAGCTGCGGCCAAGGCCAGGCTGGGGTCCTGCCTTCGGAAGACTCTCTCTCTCAGGAGCTTCCTTATTTAGGCACCTCTCCTTTGGCTCTGTTCATTCCGCCAGCATTCACTGAGCGCCTGCCATGTTCCAGGTGCTGTGCGGGGGCGGGGTCACCATGGACAGTGAAACAGACCCAGCATCACCCTCCTGGAGGCCAGAGTCCAGCAGGGGGTGGATGTTAATAAAGTAATCACCCCAACAGACAGTGACCCACGGGGCATGTGTGAGGGGCAATCATAGGGCTGGGATGGGAGTAGGTCATGGGGGGGCAGTGGCCAGGACAGAGTTCTCTGGGGACAGGTCTGAAGGCACGAGCCAGGCAGAGAGAAGCTTGAGGGGCAGGCCGGGCAGAGGGAAGTGCACGTAACAAGAAGGAGGCCACCGCTCCCCCATTCCCGGCTGTGCCAGCCCTGTCTCAGGTATTTGCATCCGTGGCCTTGAATATCCCAACCACTCAGTACACTGCTGGGGAAACCGGCGTTCAGAGCTGTAAAGACACTTCCCAGGGTCACGCAGCTGGGGAGGGACATGGCAGGAGGTGGAACCTGGGTCTGCCTGAGTTTACCTGCCAGGGTTCCCACACCTGTGATGCATCGGAATCACCTGGGGATCTCGTTTAAATGCAGAGTCTTTGGCTGCCACCCCAGGGATTTGTCACAGAGTGTCTCTTTGCCTCTCCGGGCCTCAGTTTCCCCATCTGTAGAGTGGAGGTGAGGCTCCAGCCATGTGGTCCCTGCCAGTGCTCACACTCCTGGCTCCCCATCGGGGTCGTGTGAGGGTTAGATAATGGATAGCTGTGAAGCTTGGGCCCTGGGGAGGTTGGCAGTACCCCTGGAGAGGGGGGCTCTGAGGTACCATTTGCTTCCAGATGTGCGCCCCTCCCAGTAGCGGGTGCTGAATACTAGCGTGTCGCTGTCGTCTCTGCTAGTGTGGCCACTATTCTGCAGCTACGCCTGTAGCGCCGTCTGAGGCAGGACAGGCAGGGCTGGGGACGGGCCTGGGGTTGCTCTGTCCGCACAGCCATCCGGGCTCTGCGTCTCTCCCCAGTGACAGTGACCTTGCACCAGCCCCTTCCCTCTCTTCCCTTCAGCTCCCTTGTCTGTGAATAGGATCAGCGAAAGCACCCACTCCAAGGGGAGGTCGTGAGGGCGACATGAAACCTCACCTGTAAGGTGCTCCAGGACCCCTGTCAGGCCTGGCTCCGGGATCACTGGGTGCCACCCTCGTGCCTGCAGGAGCTGTCCCATAGGTGGCCCGGACAGTGCCGAGCCCTGGATGCTCCCCCGACACGTCCTGGGGGTGCCCTGATGGGGTCAGAGCAGCCAGGCTGGGCACGAGGGGCTGGTGTCCCCGACTTTGCCCTGACGGGGGAGGGACCTTGGGTAAGATGCCTCAGACCCCACAGGGGGTGGGTGACCTCCGAGAGGTTCCAAGTGGCATCTTCTAGGGTGGCTGGAGCCTCCGCCCTCCTGTGGGTCTGGCGGGGACCGAAGGGTTAATGCTGCGACACTGGTCTGGCTGCCGAGCCTGCCACCCCACTGAGATTAATTCAGTTTGGTAACTCGGTATTTACGCTGGAAATTTAATCGTCATTCTGATGGTGGAGGAATTGAAAAATAAATTGAAAGTGTCAGCCGGGCTTGGTGGGCGACAGAGCGGAAGCGGGCCGCCCACCTGGCCTCCCCGTGGGCGATCTGTGGGCCCAAGAAATGAGCCGGGTTCCGTTTCCACAATTGCAGGATCAACCTGAGGTGAGGCCGGGCGGGGCTGGGAGGCGAGGACAGGGCAGACGCCAGCGTGGAGGCAGAGGCAGCGCTGGGAGTCACGGGAGAGGAGACGGCCCCCAGCAGGCAGGGACCCGTCCTCGAGGCCACCGGATGCTGTGGGCAAAGCGAGGCTGGGATCCCGGGATCCCTCCTGCCTCCAGGCCGGGGGCACGGACGGGGCGGTCTCTGAGCAGAGTGAGGCTCTTGGCAGCTCTGCCCCGGGGTCCTCTCACCGCCCAGCTGCCCCTCTGCCTCAGGGAGCGGCTGCCCACCCCGGGTGGGGGCACCCTGCGTGTCTGTTGGGACAACGTGAGCGCAGGCCTCTGAGTCTGCAGGGCCAGGGGCTCCTCGGCAGTGTCTGGTCTCTCCCAGAGGACTCCTGACCCCAGAGGGGGCTGGGACTCCCCACCAGACTGGACGCCTCTCAAGGCAGGGCTGTCTCCCCCTCTAGTCAGGGGGGTCTCCTTGGGGCCAGGCCTCTCGCTCTCCCCCAGGCGGCTCCAGAGATGACTCACCGTCATCATGAACAGCTCCCATTCATTGAACAGTCCCCGACGCCAGGCCCGGCTGTAATTTCTCTGTCCCCTAGCTTACCTGATCTTTACAACACCTGTACAAGACATCCATTCTTTCATTATGACCTTCCCACTTTACGGATAAGAAAATCGCGTGGGTTAGTATTCACTCAAGGTCACACAGCCCGGAGGTGCCGAGGGCAGGATGTGGACCCAGGCCATTGGGCTCAGCACTCTGCACTTAACCAGGCACTGCCCTGCCCCTGTGCAGGCCCCAGCTGGCCCCCAGGGTGGGGACAACTGTCCTCATTTGACAGCTGAGGAGACCGAGACTGAGAGGAGGGCAGTGGCCCCCCACCCCCATCCCCGGTGGTCAATGGAGGGACCCTGGGCAAGGAAAGGGCTCTGTCCTCTGACAGACCCAGGCTCATGTCTCAGCCCTGCCACTCAGCGGCTTGTGGCCACGGTCCAGCCACTTGACTGCTCTGAGCCTCAGTTTCCTCCTCTGCAAACTGGGGCAGGGGCAGCTTGTTGGGAGGATGGGAGGAGGGGCAGGCACAGGTGCTGGGCGCACAGTAGGTGCTCGGTGGTGGCTGTGCCTTCCCATCCCCCTTGGGGCTGAGGCTCCCTCAGGTGTGGCTCTGGCACTGGAGCCTGATGGTCCCCTCTGGGGGTCCTAAGCTCCCCTCGAGGGGCTCGGGGTGGGAGAAGAGGTGGGGCTGGCCACAGCCCACAAACCGCCTCTTGGGAGGATGCACAGGTCTTTCTTTAGAATACAGATGGGTCCCCAGCCAAGGCAAAGCTAACGCCTGGGCCCTGCTGTCTGGACCCCAGGACCTGACTCCTTATCACGCTGTCACCTGTGTGGTCACCACGCTGCTGAAAATGCTAATAACTAACCCTTCTTGAGTGCTCACCTGGGTGCACAGGCCCATCTCATTTCTCCAGTCCTACGCTGGAGGAACGGTGCTGTGACCAGCTGAAGAGGAGGATGAAGAGGCCTGGAGCAATGACATAAACAACCAAGAAGCATGTGGTCTACTTGCCCAGGGCCCCGGCTGTTACCCCAGGGACAGGCCCTCACCTGCACCCCGTCACCCACTCCCCAGGTACCTCACGACATCATCCGTCCTCCCACCCCACGCCCTGCCCTGCCCCTGCCAAGATGCCACCTGCACCCTGTCCAGCCACTGCACACACAGGCACACGCTCTGAGGAGTGCCCCCCCATGTGCTCCATGTCCTCCTTCACACCCACTGCCCCACTCCTTCCTGCACCAAGTCTTCCTCCGGGGCCTCCTCTTCCCAGCTCTGGGCATGTCATGAAACCTGCGTCAGATGCAAGCCCAAGGGAGACAGGCGACGGGAGCCCAGTGATGCTTCATTTATTAGTGGCAGCAAAGCAACGTTTCGAGTGATAATTTCAGTAATTAGGATTTCTGTTGCCGTCTATGGGGAGGGGGGTGCTGGCTGCGCAGCTGGCTGCGGCTGATGCGTGCCCGGGGCTTCTGAGAACAGGAGGGTTCCACCTCCCCCAGGGCCTGAGGCAAGGCTGCTGGGCATTTGAGAGCCAGAGGGCAGAGCTTAGGAGGAAACTGAGGCCTTTTGTTCCAGGGGATGCACATGGCCAGGTGACCCTCACCTGCACAGCCTAGGAGCCCTTGGCCAGCCTTGGAAGGCAAGAGAACCAGAGGTCTCAGCCTCCACTGTCAGCTGGCGCATGGAGTGGGCACCCAACGTCCCTGCAGGAGGCGGAGACCTCACCAGCCTGGGGTGACTTGGATCCACCTGGTGGGTCCCTGTCACAGGCTGTGTCCCACGTCTGCTCTGGGGCAGCCTGGCCTGGGCTGTGCACTGGCCCACCGTGTGACCTCGGATGTGTCACCCACCCACCCTGCACTAGTGTGGCTCTTGACCACTGACCAACGACATCCCAGCCAGCTCCCTGCTGCAGCCCCCTGACAGCCCGCTACAACGGAGGCTCCCAGAGAGCCGGGCCTCGTCTCCGCTGCCACCTCCACACGCGCCTCAGCGCCCAGGTCAGCGCCTGGCACACAGGAGGCTCCCAAGAAATAGCAAATGTTTGTTTGAGGACTACAAAAGTGTGTAAATAAACAGGACAAATCCATGAGGCAGGTGTTCTTATCCCCACTTAGAGGAGGAGACAAGCTCAGAGAGGTGACGTGACTCACCCAAAGTCACATAACTGGTCTTCAGGGGCAGGGACTGGGCAGTGGAGGGTCAGAAAGAGGAAGCTGAGGGCTAGTCTTCCAGGGAAACACAGGACCAGGACAGGGCTGGAGGCAGCACGGATCCTGGGGAGAGGCAGCCAGAGCTGTCCTGCACTTGGATGGCAAATCAAATGTTTTGGGAGACTCAGCCACCACCTGGGAAACTCAAGCCAGGATGTGGGAGGTCCCAGGGAGAAGGGGGAGTTGGGGGGAGCAACCTTGTTTGCATAAAGGCCACACTTCCTCCAATCAACTGGGCTCTTAGGAGAGGGGTTACCAGGGCCTGGCCAGTCACCAGGAGTCTGGGGGCAGAGGAGGGTGGAGCAGGGCCAGGCCCCATCCAGGCCAGCAACCAGGTCCTGCTCCCTCTACACCTGCAGCCCTTCCTACCTGGCTCTTCCCTCCTTGACTTTGGTCAGCGCTCCCAACAGTCCTGCATCAAGGGTCGGAATAATCATCTCCACTTTGCAGATGAGGCAACTGAGACCCAGAGAGGCCATGTGACTTGCCCAAGTTAGCAGCAGATCCAGAACTGACCAGGGTGCTAAGTTGGCCCCTCTGCTTCCTCCCGGCTGCCCTGGCCCAGGGGCTCTGCTGGGCATCCCACCCCGTCTTGTCCTCTGCTACCACCAGCCCCTCTGCCCCACCAAGCACCCCATCTAGCTCGGAGCTGCTGGAGACTTCAAGCCCCCTCTCCAGCTTCCATCCCGGAGCCCAGCCCATTTGCTCAGCTGCTCAGAAAGGGAGACACAGGATGTTGGGGCTGGCAGGGGCCCCAGGAAGCCTCTGGCCCCATCCCCTGGGGTGGCAGGTGTGGCAGTGGTCCCTCAGTGGCCACATTGTGTCCCTCACCTTCATCCCAGAAGCCCCGGGGCCCTTTGAGGGCTGCTGCTCTTCTCCCTGCACTTCCCCTGCTTCCTGCCTCCCTTCTGCCCCGGCAGAGTTTGTGAATCCGGGTCTAAGGTTTGTTTCTTTCTTTTTTTTTTTCTTGAGACAGAGTCTCACTCTGTTGCCCAGGTTAGAGTGAGTGGCGTGGCATCAGTCTAGCTCACAGCAACCTCGAATTCCTGGGCTCAAGAGATCCTCTTGCCTCAACCTCCCGGGTAGCTGGGACTACAGGCATGCGCCACCATGCCTGGCTAATTTTTTCTATATATTTTTAGTTGTCCTGCTAATTTCTTTTTATTTATAGTAGAAATGGGATCTCGTTCTTGCTCAGGCTTGTTTTGAACTCCTGACCTTGAGCGATCCTCCCGCCTCGGCCTCCCAGAGAGCTAGGATTACAGGCGTGAGCCACCACGCCCGGCCCGGGTCTAAGGTTTGGTTCACACACTTCTGGGGAAAGAGGGCTGCTGTCTACACCTGCAGTGACTCAGAGGCTTTGGTGGTTACCCTGCTGGGAATGTTCGCTTCTCAGAGGGATCACCTAGGCCTTCCTTGTTGAAGGCTGAGATTTTCTGAGTCTTCTCTTTCCCGGGAGCTGCCTGGTGGCTTCGTGGGGAGTGGGGTGCAGACAACGGGTTGCAGAGCGAGGGCAACAGAGGTGGAAGGAGCCACAGGGGCTCACACGCAGTGAAGAGCCAATCTAGACAGTGTGGTAGGGAGGAAGAAGATGGACTTAGATGTCATCAGAGGCTTGGGTTTGAATCCTTGCTCCACCACAGCCAAGCTGTGTGACCTTGGGTAGGCCACTTAACCTCTCTGAGCTTTGATTTCCACATCTGCAAAATGGGCATAAACCACAATGGGATTAGTGACATCTGCCTCCCAAGGTGATGAGGCTTGGACGAGGGGTGTATGTAAGTGCCTGGCACGTCGTGGGGACTCAGGAGAGTTGAGTTATCCCCTCTGGTCCATTTGAGGTCTTCCTTTCTCTGCCCAGACCACCTCCTCCAGGTCTCCCCCAGCTTTCATCCGAGTTCTCTCCTGCACATGTCTTTCTGCCCTTGGCGAGAGCAGACCCTGTCAGTTTTGCAGGTTCTACTTCCATTGCAGCTTAGGAAAGAGAACACGGAGGCCCCGTTGGCAGGGCTGGCCCAGCCGTCACGTGCCAGGACACCAGGAACAGAAGGAGTATACATCCAGGGATTGCTAGAAGTGCAGCTGCTTCCCCGCTGATGAGTCTAGAAAGAGTAAGAGGCCTCTAGGGCCCCAGATTCAATTAGGATCTCAGAGGTTGGCAGGATTCTTTAACCTGTCTGATTTCGAATAAGGAAGGAGGGAGTCTGGCTTTGTTAGGGTCTCACTGGCTGGGGCAGAGGCTGGGGTCGGACCCCTGGGGGGAGTGGGTGGGAGGCAGCTCCCTTCCCTCTGAAAGGATCTCTAGGGCCTCTCAGGGTAGGGCCCCCAAATGATCTCTTCCACTCTCCAAGTTGCTACTGCATCCACCAGGGTACATTTCGGGAGGAGGGGACTCTGGAGTCAGGCCCCCCAGAACCCAGTGGGGTTACCAGAGACCTGGGCTGTCCCTGGGCAAATTCTGGCAGCCCTTCTGCCTCCGGAGCCTCAGTCTTCCTACCTGTAAAGTGGGAGTGGTGGTCCCTCCTTCGCATGGTTGTTGTACAGGCTAAGGGAGGTGAATAAAGCCCCTGGACGGTGCCTGACACATAGTAGGTCCACCACAGAACAGAGCTGTGATTACCTGGAACCATATCCCAGCTCCATGAGGGGTAAAAGATGAGTAAAGTGTGGACTTGAGAGACTGGCTCCTGGATTCAATCCCTGCCCAGCCTACACCAGCGCTTTGACTTGACAAAGTGACCTGATTTTTCTATGCCTTGGTTTCCTCATCTGTAAAATGGGGGTAATAATAGTGCCTCCCTCATAGGCTCATAGTGAGAATTAAATGAGATACTTCTAAAGTGTTTTGAACAGAGCTGGGCACAAGATTAGCCCAAGTGAGATTTTTTTTATTGCTGTTTTGACAATGGTTATTGTCCAGCCTTTTCTCTTACTGGCCCCTGTGGACCTCTGCAAGCCACCTTTGTGTCTCTGTGGTCCGTTAAGACCTCCACGGTCTCCACGCGGGTCTGCCCTGCCCCCCCCAGCCACAAGCCCCGCCCCCCACTGCCCACCACACACCCACAGTGGCTTGTCTTTTCATCCTCTTACTAGTGTCTTTCAAAGAGCAGAAGTTTTTAACTTTGGTGAAGTCCATTTTATTAATTAGCTTTTTTGTGAACCCTGCTTTAGATATTGCATGTAAAAATACACTACCTAACCCGAGATCACAGAAGTTTTCTCCTTTGTTTTCTTATGGAAGTTTTGTAGATTTAGGTTTTCCTCTAGATTTATGATCCATTTTGAGTTAGTTTTTATATATGGCATGAAGTAGGAATTGAAGTTTATTTTTTTACATATGGATATTGGGTTGTTTAGCACCACTTGATGAAAGGACCATCTATTCTCCACTGAATTGCCTTTGCGCCTTTGTCAAAAATCAATTGTCCATATGTGTGAAGAACTCGCCCTGGACTCTTTGTTCCTTGGATCTATTTGTTTCTTTTTATGCCAACACCACGCTTTTGCTGTCTTAGTTACTGTAGTTACATAACAAGTATCGAAACCACAAAGTGCTGGTCCTCTCTGTTTTTCTTCTTCAAGGTTGTTTTGGCTATTGTAGGTCTTTTGTGTTTCCATGTGAATTTTAGAACCAATTGGTCAATTTCTACAAAAAGCTGTAGTTTTCTTTATGATTCTTGTGCTTGGATTTTGTTGAGATCCTTTGATCTGGAGGATTATAGTTTTCATCAAATTTGGAAATAATTTTTCCATTAATTTTTCAAATATTTTTTTCTGCCCTGCCTCCTTCAGGAACTCCAATTCTACATGAACATTAGGCAGTTTGAATTTGTCCTACCGCTCACTGCTGCTCTGTTCATTTACAAAAATGTTCTTTTCTCTCTGTTTCAGTTTGAATAGTTTCTATTGTTATGGTGTCAAGTTCATTAATCTTTTCTTCTGAGATTTCTAATCTTCTGTCTATTCCAGCTACTGTATGTCTATCTCACACATTGCAGCTTTCACCTCTCAGTGTTATATTTGATGTTGTTTATATCTTCAATGTCTCTACTAAACTTTTAAAACATATGTTTAAATACTGTTACAATAATCTTTGAAGTCCTTGTCTGTTAATTCTATCATTTGCATCATTTCTGACTTGGTTTTGATGGATTCATTTATCTCCTCATTATGGGTTACATTTTCCTGCTTTTTTGCATGCCTGCTAATTTTTGCATGAATGCTAGGCATTATGAATTCTACCTTGTTGAAGGCTGGATATTTTTGTATTTCTATAGAATTTCTTAAATTACATTCTTGGGTGTAGTTAAGTCACTTGTTAGCAGTTTGATCCTTTCAGGTCTTGCTTTTAAGAATTGTTAGGCAGGAATAAAGTAGTGCTTAATCTAGAGCTATTTACTTTGCACTATTTAGGGAAGAAAGACCCTCCTGTGTACTTTATTCAATTCCCCGTGAACCATGAGATTTTTCCAGTCTGGTTAGTGGGAGCAGGTGCTGTCTCCAGCCCTGTGTGAGTGCGAGGCACCATTTCCTTCGATCCTTTTGAGTGGTCCTTTTTCCAGAGTTTCATAGTTTCCTCAGGCTGGGAACCGTGACTCACGCCTGTAATCCCAGTACTTTGAGAGGCTGAGGTGGGAAGATCACTCGAGGCCAGGAGCCTGAGACCAGCCTGAGCAATATAGCAAGACTCTGTCTCTGCAAAAAAAAAAAAAAAAAAATTGGGATTATGGTGATCTGTGCCTATAATTCCAGCTACTCAAGAGGCTGCCTCGAAAGGATTCCTTGAGTCCAAGAGTTTTCCTTGAGTCCAAGAGTTTGAGATTGCTGTGAATTAGGCTGATGCCACTGCACTCCAGTCTGGGAAATAG